AATGCGATGCACAGGATTTTTTTTTTTTTTAAAGTATTGTTTGATATTTTTGTATATTACATGATCTATGCACTTATTCAATCTTCCCAAAAGTATTAATTGAATAAAGGGGAAGATGAATAACTCCAGACAGTTCATGGGTTTTCAAGCTGTGCCACGCTACAGTCCTGCAAAAAAAGTCAAGTAGAAATTAGTAGCTTTGATTCTACAATGTACTACAGATTAGTAAAGTATGTGTAGCCAAAACATTTTCCTTACTTTCATTGAGATGCTGTTTCTGTGTGGGGTTTTTTTTTTCCCCCCAAATAAACAGTGGGTTAAGCTGCCCATTTCTGCTTCTGACTGAGTTCATTGAGACAGACTGTCTCAATGAATCTAAGTATTTGATGCCATTTTCTACTTCAGTCATTTTCCATTCCTGGTGCCTATCCATGGCACCATACCTGTCATCTGTATGCTGCCATATAATAGACAGGAAAAAGCAAAAAACTTAATACCATAAATTTTCCTTTCCTGGTGCCCATCCATGGCTGCATACAGAAGATAGGCATGCTATATGCAGGCACCAGTAAAATTACAAAAACAAAATAAAATCTTCCATTGTGGACATTTTGCTGACAGCTGAACAAGTGGAGCACTTCTCTGCACATAAAGTTTTCCCACACTTCCTGTTACATTCGAGACCGGAAGTAAAAGCAAATCTTTCTAAGAGGATGCAGACAACAAAAAAACCTGAAGTTTGTTGTAAACCTTTAATAATCTATCTGTAACTAAACTCATTCACCATGTAGCTGGCCAACCCCTTATTTTATCAAGTCTTACTGTGATGCTATATCCTTTATTGCCAAATTATTTCTCCATAATTTGGTATCAAATATGAAAACTGATCTTTTCATTGCAACCTCTATGATGCACGAACAAGTGGAACAGAATTTTTTCTCAAGGCAGAACCCTGGGGAACGTCCTTTGAATGGTCTAAAGTCGCAAGTGATGAGTCATTTATCACGGCTTTCTGGACAGTTTCCTATCCATGTACATACTGATAAACAGTTTGGTCTGACAAGAATGGCCACCTGTATGGAACAGAATAGGTGAGAGAATTTTACATCATGATCTGGTCTTTATTGGGCAGTGCATTCAATTGTCCAATAAAGACAATCCTTGACGTAAAAAGGATTCCCTCAAGCATTCTCTTCCATTTAAGCACCTTATGTGATCAATCATTTTTGGGCTCGTTTCCTCACACATCCTCCTTGGAATCCAAGCTTCCAAGAATCCAACCAGCCTCCCAGGATTATCTGAAAAGGAAGCCAGATGAGCATCAAGAGTGACCTATATCTGCATGGGGGACAGAAATATTCCCTGCAGGTTTGACTATCCAGATGCCTGACCTCCAAATTGGGGGTCTTGCAACCCTACTAATGCGAGTAATGAGTTCTATAAATCAAACATTGAAATCAATACAAAACCCAAATACTACACAAGGATCTCCCCTGGGACTTTATCCTTTTCTCTTGTTCACTCTACTTCAGGGTTTCTCAGCCAGGGTTCCATGGAACGCCAAGGTTCCTCCAAAAAGGTTGCTAGGGGTTCCTTGAGCAATGAGCAATTTATGCTTCTCAGATATGTTTCCACTGACACCATTGATCTTACAACTGATCAATGGGAAGAATTAACCCCTTAAGCTAAAGAAGAAGAAGTATTCTCCCTACTGACCACACTAATGTATCATCAGTTTTAGATCTAGTCATTTATAGCAGGGGGTTTTAGATCTAGTCATTTATAGCAGGGGTTCCAAGACCAGAAAGTCTTCAATGATTCCTCAGTGTTGAAAAGGTTGAGAAAGGCTGCTCTACTTTAAAATTCCTGGTCTATCTTGATTTTTTTGTAGCCACATTTGCTGAAAGCCAATCAGTTGGTACCATTCCAGTAAGTAAAGGGTCCTTAAAAATTCTCTACATAGATGAGTATTTGTTTACATTTGCTAACCTAATCTACAGCCTGAATCACTTGCTAACCTAATCTACAGCCTGAATCACTAAGGCATGTAACTTTCAAAAAAGAGCTCAGCAATCACAGCACCATGTCTGAGTACTGTAGGAGCACATGGTTACAATTGTGCTGCTGTGTTATATAAACTTTCCATAAGAGGTCACTATAGCACTTTGGAACAGAATTGCATTCGATTCCAAAGTACAGTACCAGCATATGACAAAAACCAGCAGAGTTGGGAAATAGGACTGCACTCCATGTCTCTTAAAGGTGTTCTTAAAGGCAATTTTAGAAAATGCTAATGGAGCGAAAGTCCCTAGAGGCTCTCATGCACAGTGCTGGATCATGATGGGGCTCAGGTAAGTATTAGGGGTGCCGTTGCACACAGGTGTTTTCTACCTGCCCCATCCCTACAGTAAACCATTTCCCAGGGCAGCTGCCCCCCCTCCCGCCCACCCCTTGTCCCAGCTCTGCCTTCATGCATGGAATGCATGAATGTAAAAAACCCTTTACCACTTTAAGTATACAGTATGTCAAGCAAAAGTTTAGTTTTGGATAAAGTATGGAAAGATTAGAACCCCCATTTGTCATTTGCTGCTATATCCATGTCAGTTAGAGATGTCTAGTGGTTTTACTAGACAGATTTTTTTCTTCTCTCACTTCCTGATATGGCTAGCTATTCCCTGTTCTAGTAAAGAAAGCATTTTTTTATTTTACTCTACATTGTAGCAATCTCCTCAAAATAACTCACACCGCCATTAATGTCTAAACCACTGGCAACAAAAGTGAGTCCACCCCTAAGTGAAAATCTCCAAATTAGGCCCAAAGTGTCAATATTTTGTGTGGCCACCATTATGTTCCAGCACTGCCTTAACCCTCTTGGGCATGGAGTTCATAGGTTGCCACTGGAGTCCTCTTCCACTCCTCCATGACAACATCACAGGCAACCGACTGTAGGCAAGGCACACACTTAACTTCATACTCCTCACCTGGTTGCTGCCACATGCTTTACATCACCTGAACCAAATAAGCTTACCTTGGTCTCAAACCACAGGACATTGTTCCAGTAAGGACATGTTACTGGACACAAAGTCTGCTTGTCTTCAGCAAACTGTTTGTGGGCTAATGTTTATAAGAGGCTTCCATCTGGACCGACAGCCATGCAGACCAATTTGATGCAGTGTGCGGCGTATGGTCTGAGCACTGACAGGCTGACCCCCCACCCCTTCTCCCTCTGCAGCAATGCTGGCAGCACTCATACGTCTATTTCCCAAAGACAACCTCTGGCTATGACGCTGAGCATGTGCACTCAACTTCTTTAGTTGACCATGGTGAGACCTGTTTGTACAGCTGTCTTGTTAACAAGACCCACTGTTACAGTCTTGGCCACCGTGCTGCAGCTCAGTTTCAGAGCAACAAATCTTTTCAGATCCTCACTTCTTTGCCATGGGGGTGCCATGTTGAACTTCCAGTGACCAGTATGAGTGATACCAAATTTAAACACACCTGCTCCCCATTCACACCTGAGACCTTGTAACACTAACTAGTCACATGACCCTAGGGAGGGAAAATGGCTTATTGGGCCCAATTTGGACATTTACTTAGGGGTGTACTCACTTTTGTTGCCAGCGGTTTAGACAATGGCTGTGTTGAGTTATTTGAGGGAACCGTAAAATTTACATCGTTATACAAGCTGTACACTCAATACTTAACACTGAAGAAATGACACTTTGCTACAATGTAGTCACATAAAGAGAATGTACAAAAATGTGAGGGGTGTTCTCACTTCTGTGATATACTGTATATCTGCTACATTTCAGGTTTAAAGTTTTATTTGAGGTAATGCGCAAGGCATAGTGCCCCTTTTTATTTTATAGTTCCATACTGAGCTACCCCAGCCCCTAGGGGTCTGCACTGCCTTATTGGACTGATAGCTAAGGTTTATGAAGATCCGTCCACATATGCCATATCTGGCCCTTTGAGCACAGGTGGTTTCTTTTTGGTGAAAATAGAAGTCTATGGCTCAGTGCAGCTATCCTGCAGGAAAGCCACAGGTGCACTGTGCTGCACCCATGGATCAGTGTAAAAGCAGCCTAACCCCTTTTTTTTCAAAGTGCCAATATGCCCATCACAAAAGTGCAGTGTATGTGATGTTTACTACACTAACCCCTTTCCTCTTCCAGCTTCTGCTGGCACCACTGTCCAAGCTGCGAGAAAGTTCCCAGGAGAAGAGCACTTATCACTCCACCAGGAGTCGGCGCTACAGAGGAAGCATCGGTTTATGCGGTTCCTTCTCTGTCTGTAGCCACCTGTTTCTTTTGCTGTCAGTGCCAGCTCCATACATTCTGATGCTCTGGGATGGATAGGTCAACAACCCATTGATTGCGATCTGGGCTTGCCAACCCATGATCCCAGAGCATGGGCATGGCTCCCCTGGTTTGAGGTCTCTGGTAACATCAGAGGGCTCCACAGGCCATGGGTTGAATACTCCTGCCCTACACTGATAACAGAGGGACCACTCAAGGCCCAGAGCTTGAAGTAGAAAAGAGCGGCAGAAGTGGCCAGACCAGGGGGGGACTAACTAACTCATGGGGCTCCCGGGCAATAGGGGATCTTGGGGCCTCTGTGTCCTTGCCCACACAAAAAAAAAAAAAAAAAAAAAAAAAAAAAAAAAAAACACCCACACAGAAGGTACCAGGGCATTTTATGGGGCCCCCTACTGACCCCGGGCAGTTCCCGAGTGCTCGAATGGTCAGTCCGCCCCTGGACCAGACAGAGGAATAGGGTAAGGAATATTCAGGGGTGAGGGGCATTGCAAAGGATATACATTATCTAATCCTAGAGTTAGACTTTAAACCCCTGCAACTCTGGTTCTATTACTTTGCACAATCAGCAAACAAACAGCTGACAGACGTGAAGTTTAGCTTGCCATTTCCACCCATTACTGCTATGTGAATGCAGAAAATATTTCATTTGTAAAAATGTAAACATTAAAAGTTAAACAAGTATTAATATCTCAAGGGTGCAGGGGTCACCTTTAGTCTGTGGGGAGAAGCACCATGGGACATTAGGATTGCTGGAGTCGAAGCAGCAGCCATTGGAATGGCATTCGGTCGCACTGATCCCCGAGTAGCCGCAGTCTTGCCTTTGGTTGGAAGACACTGAGCACTGAGCGTTATCTGGTAGATAGATGACACCAAATCACAATAGATCAGACAGAGTTCACTTGTACTGCCTATATATCCATAAACTGCGCACTTGACGGACAAAAAAAATGCATGGACGATCAAATACAATATATGTTATTTGGCTTTATTCTCACAACATTTATACACAATTTATATGCATTTTTAAAGCTCATTACCAGCTGTATAATGTACTCCTATCTAGGTTGCTGGGGCGATAGGTAAATTTAACCATTATGGCTCCTCTAATCATTGGAAGAGATGTTAATTTCTTTGGGCTGTCCTAGATCTCAGAGGCTGCAGGTTTGATTGCTACCCCATGCCTTCTAGAGGCTTCTGGAACACAGGGGGCTGGGAGAGTCAAATGAGCAGCTTTAATATTTGTGCTGCAGCCATTCCCTGGGGAGGTGTGCCCAGTAGGTAGCTGGAGGACAACAAATAGTCTGGAGCAGCCCTGTTCTTGTCCTGCTAGACAAGTTCCTTGCCTCAGGGGCCTGTTGCCCCCTTTGAGACAGCTTGCTGGATTTGCTGCAGTTTGCAGTCCCAGCTGTGGCAGAGCTGGGGGCCTATTCCTAATCAACTTTGAAGCTAACTAAGCAGGCTTGGATCTAACTCGTCTGATGTGAGGGTGCAGTAAAAAAGTAAGGGGGGCAGAAAATGGGAGGTCAGCATACAATACTTTACTGTCCTTGACTGATGCTAAACTGATCCAAGTTTAGTGCCAGACTAGGGAAATAAAAGTATGCAATTAGAGTGGTATTGTGGCAGGTTAGGGTAGCATAATTGCAGTATAGTGACAGGTTATGGTTAGCTGGGGCACAACTAAAATCTAGGGGGCATAGTCCATCCCAGCAGCCCCCTAACTAAGCAATTTCACCCAAGGATCTGGTCTGAAGATCTTACTAAAGAGTGCCTGGTGGAATTTGGAAAGTATGTAGGTGCCCCGTGGCATTGTGAGTATTAACCTCCCCCTCACTTAGGCGTGTCTGGTGGAAACTAGGAACTCGGCAGTTGTCCTGGGACAGAGATGTCTGGAGCAAACTGGGATGAAGTTCAGCTGTCCTGGAGAGACATTGTGAGAATAGACCTGAGCACAAGATCCAAGCAATTGTGATTTTTTTTTTTTAAATTTGAAGAGTAGAGAGAGTTACAAAAAAAAAAAAAAAAAAAAAAAAAGTTCAGGCACCGACAGGCCTGATAACCATAGGAAAACTGCTAGGGCCTAAACACAGTAAGGCCCATACCAGATTCATAGCAAAGTATGAATTAAGGAATATAATTAACCACCTCAGATTTGGGTTGGTCTACTGTAGTATTGTCGAGCCATGCAGTATATTCCGATACTGTGGAATTTTTGGGGACATACATGTGATTGTCATGTCCCTTTTTATAAAAAAAGGAATGATTGAGTTCACTAGGGATTTCCAAAACCTCAGGGTAGGGGCAGTAGCAGACTTCCATTCATAATGGACTTTCTAGCAAAAAAAAAAAAAAAAAAAAAAAAAAAAAAAGTGTAAGAGGCCCAGTCGTGTCCTAATAGACTTTCACTAGCCCAAGGATATCCACTTGAGGTAGGATGTGGATAGAGGTCAGGCGGGTAATAAAACTGAAGGACTGACATCCTAAAGATTTGTCTATGAGGGCAGGTCCAGAGCATATGAAAAGTAGTCCACTGGTTCCACTAGACAGCACCAACAATGGAGAGGGCAGTTTGGGTAGATTCTATGAGGGGTCAAATAAATCCTATGTAGAATTTTGAACTGAATTAGTCTATTTCTGGAAGAGCTATTCCCATATGTCTTCCCCATCCAGCTCTGGCAACTCTATCACGCCTTTGAGAGGTTAAGGTCCTTCTGGTTGGCAAAGTAGGCTGTAAATATTTGTGTACTACTTTTGATGGCTAAGTGTCAGCATCTCAAAACGAGCTACTGCTGACAGTTTCAGTTAGACCATTCCTTTTAACCTTCGGTATAGACTGTTTAAAGAAGCCTCCAGGCTGGAGCTGAAGGAGAGAGAAGGAAAGGAAACTGGCAAGAGGGATCTCCATTACCCTGCAGTCTGGAGAAGACAACCTGCCTAGCCTGGGTAGGCAAAAGGTCTGGAAGCAGTCTCATCCAAAGCAGAGCCCATGAGAGAGAGGGCTGCCAGATGCAATATCCAGCAAGCTCTAGGACCATGTCACAGCTCCTTAAATCTCTTGTTTTGGTTTGGGACACTCTCCAAGGCAGCTAGGTGGGCTGGTAGTAGCCCAACGTACAAGTTAGCAGTACTGAGGAAGCCAGAATCTGGGGTGAAATGTGTATAGGTGGAAGATGCCTGAGACCTAGAAGTTTTGAACTGATGACCATCTGGGAAAGCGGGGTGGTGAGCATGTAATTAAATTATACCTTATATGCTGGCTTGTTTTACATTTTAGAGTAAACTGGAGGATTGTATACTGTGGTGGTGCCAGGAGAGGAGCTGGAAGACCAGAGGGTGTTCACAAGTCTGTACTCATGTGATTTAAGTTCATAAAGTGAGACAAGAGGAAGCAAGAAATCTCTCCATATAGCAGCAGACCATCAGTAGATGGGATCCAACTAAGCAATGCATTGCATCATAGTACTGTAGTCAGACATACTACCAGCACATACTTTTGAAGTTTCCCCTTTGTTTATGGTGGTGGTGGAGTACTGTGGATGTTCTGGAGGAGTTTTCGCAAATGATTGGTCTAGAGGAGTTTCCACATATGCAGTCCATCGTCAGTGTATATAGAGCCATCAAGACCACACAGACAGCCAACTTTCTGCATGAACATCTAATGCGATATTTGACCTACCATTCAAGGTGATCAATTATCTGTGGTGAGTGGGGCTCTGGAGGGTGGGGGGGCGCTATGCACAGAGAATTGCTATGGATAAGAAGATTAACCATTGTATCACTTAGTATTCACATTTGATACCGATGGGGATTTTTTTGGACCTTTCATATGTTTGCACAGTTATTGGACACACCATAGAAAATCCACTGTACACAGTTTGATCGCATTGTATATATTTGCCATTTTTTGCACTATTGTCATTTGAACATGTTAATATACATATTGGTTTGTGTTTTATTTGTCAGTCCATAGAGCATTGAAGTATGTGCACATTTGTATGGACCCTTTGTTTTAGTAGAGCAGTGCAGCAACTTTTATGTGTGAAGCTTTATTATAAGCTTGCCTGCAGGTAAAAATATACAAAGTGACCTTACTACCACTTTAAAGTAACAACTGCTAAACCTTAAAGCATGAAACATTGTCAGCATGCTGAGCCCCCAACCCAAAAAAATTACACCCCGCTACTTAATTGGCAAGACTGTTCTTGGCTCTTGCCTGCACAGCCACGTCATACTGTACATTCATAGGAACAGTGGCAGAGGGACTGTATTGCACAAATACACTGTCATCGCACTTTTAGTTCATGGATACTTCCTCCAGCTTATTAGCTGGGGAATGGAGGAAGAACCTGCAAGAGCCAGCACATTGTACCTATGATTCACTGATTTTTGGTTCAATGCTTTGCAGGTTCAAAATAAAATTAAATACATTTTTGCAATATTGGTGCATTTTTTTGCAAACATAGAATTCTCCTTTAAACTGTCAGCAGTGCAAAAAAAGTAGAAGCATTGCTAGTCTAGCACAGCAGGCATGGATGGTGGGTAAATCTGCCCAATAACTTTTTACATCGTGTTAAGATGATTTTGCCAAGATTATGTAAATCAAGCAGTAGTGCACTGTACCTTGAGCTAGAGAGTAGAAGCACCAGTTCACCCCAGGGATGCTGGAATCAAAGCAACAGTTCTTGCTGGCACATTGTGATGCGCTAATCCCAGGATACCCACAGTTCCTCCTCCGATAGGGAGAGCCACCACACTCCTGGGTGTTATCTAAAGGCAAAAACATACATAACAGCTGGGCTGCCAAACATTTTAACACACTTTAAAGATTTGTTATAAAGTCTAAGGGGTGCATGGTGGTACATGGCATATTGAAGAACAGGGCCTGTAAGCACAGATGGTGGTGAAAAGGAAAAGTATGGAAGGTCATCACGAAGAGTTAACTCAGCAATGGATTTAGTTTAAAGGAATTTAGTTAGTATGGGTAACCCTGAATTGGTGGAAATGTTCTAGCAGCCCAGGATACCCACAGTTCCCTCTGATTGGGCGAGCCATAACACGCCTGGACTTTAGCTGAAGGCAAATGAAGTAAATAAAGATGGTAATAGCCAGGCAGCCAATAGCTTTAGAACTGAGATCTACTATAAGGGTATAGGTGTTCTCATGGTTCTAGCCATGTACAGTATATTATGATTTATCATATTAAATCAATTATAGGACGTTTAATATTGCATCTTACTTTGGGCTTTTGGAGAGAAGCACCATTTAACCCCAGGAACAGATGAGTTGAAACAGCATCCCATAGAATAGCACTCCCTGTCTGTAATTCCTGGATATCCACAGTCTGTTCTGTTAGCTGGACTCGCACAGCACTGAGCCTCATCTGTAGAGAAAAAGTGGAAAGAAGAAGAGATTATTAGACTATTGGGAAGGGAGGAAATGGGACAGTAGGGTAGAAGTGTGTAGAGATGGGTATGGGTTATCAAACTGTTATAGATCTTCTGTGTTGCCAAAGTCAACAGCCAGCAACAATCAGGAATGGTGTTGTAGAAAGTCCTGACAGGCAGAGCAACAGCAAATAAAAAAAATGCATTACCAAATCAATAGGTAAATGCATAGTTGGACAACATTAGCTGTTAACGGCAACAGCACTGTGATTAGCTAGTCATGTTGAGGCAGACATACATGGTGGGCAAACCTTCTCTGCTTACCATTTCTTCTTAAAGTGTTAGTGGCTTGGTAAGACACCCTTGGCTTGTACACCAAGCAGTTTAGAGTAACAGGACCAATTGTGGTTTCGAGTCACACTAACATTTTTTGTTCTCGCTTGAGTGACACACAAGGCTCACTGTGATTCGCTTGCATGGGGCCCACCAGGATTCCTGAGAGGTTGACAAGTGGAAATCTCCAAGACCTTGCCTCTGACACCATGGGAGAAACCAAACCTGGCCAGAACCCAAGAACTCCATATTTAGCCTGTTCTAGCTGTGAAGTACAATCCCAACTAGGCCATGCCCAAGAGTAGATCCCCATTGGTACAGAACACCATACCAGACTCCTTAGGAAGGAAGTTTACAGCCATAATGTAACAAACCATACAGGATTATGGTAGCACCCTGCCTGAACAAAAAGTACAACAGTTCTTAAATTACAGGGTTGAAGGGAAAGATGAGACCCACACCCTAGCAGCAGGTAGAATATGGTAATTGAATTCCTCCTTGGGAGGAATGCAATCTGTTACCTCACCAGTCCATATGAGCTCCCCCTTCCAGGGAAGTATGTTGAGTTGGCTCCTGATTACACTGTTCTTCCCAGATGGGCCCTAGATAAGATCTGATACTCTTCCTCACCAGGCTGAAGGTTGCACACACTAACTAAAGCATTCCTCATGCTTCCCACCAATCCTTTTTAAATAACCACCAAAAGGAACACTAATAACCAGAGCAAGGTTGCCAAGCAAACTAGAACAGGGTACCACCTTAAAGGACTAACCCAGTCACTGCCTAAATTACACTTACCACCACTCATATTGTGGTGTCTACAATAACTGCAACAGGGATCCCTCTATATACACATCACATCCTGCATTCCTTTATATCAGCACTGTACCTTGTGCCTGAGAGTAGAAGCACCAATTCACGCCGGGGATACTGGAATCATAAACAGTCTCTCTCCTGCACATTGGGAAGCACTGATTCCTGGGTAGCCACAGTTCCTTCTCAGGTAAGGAGACCCGCCACACTCTTGTTTTGCCTCTGTGAAAGTAAAAAATGAAACACATACACACACACACACACATATATGAATACATTGCAGGGTTTTAAATATTGGTTATTTGACATGGCTTTTAGTGTGCGACAAAAAGCTTAGGGCTGGTTTCCCAGCTGTTTGTTGCATGAAAAACACATTGCTGAAATTAGGGAAACCGCACAAATGTGCCCAGATCAAGAGATGAAAAAATAAAAACGGATACAAAATATAAAACAAAGCTGCATAATATAAAATATAAAACAAAGTCCATAAAGTGCATCTGCTAAAATAATGTATTGGGTTAGGACATATGTATGAATATGATCACCAATTAATGGTGTTTATGAATTTATTATTGCACAATTTTAGCACAACAGTTCACTGTTGTGTGAAAACATTGTTTACAGCTTTTCGTTGGAATTCACTTTAAATGGCACTCCAATGCACCATGCAATCAAAGCCCAGTGTAAATGTGCTGCAAGGAATCACAATTCAAAGAACCATCTGTGCTTTTGTGGTACATTTAAAAAAAAAAAAAAAAAAAAGGTACATGTCTTGTGTGCTGTGGTGTGTTGGCAGGCAATGCACCATAAAACACACGGTGAGCTGAGAATGGGGCCTACATATTTTCACTGAATGCACCAATCTACAGACATTAGATCATGTGAGCAGTTCAGAAGTGACACTATATAGTGATCGGGGGTTTAAAAAGTAAGCTCTTAGTAGTCAAATAGTAAGACATGTTAAAAATTTGTCCAAATGGAGTTTTAGCTTCCAGGGTAGAAATGTTCGAAGTCCAGCTCCAGCCAAGACTTTAAAGTTTTGAATGGGGCAGAGTATGGTCAGTCTATTAAGTGTTCCTACTGCAGAGAATTACTCTCACTTCCTGTCAGGACAGCAAGGACATGGGGGGAAACCCTTGTAGAGAAGTTCTGACAACTTTTGCCGTCTATGCCCTCCTTTCCCTTTGACACAATACCTTTAACATTTGAATGGAAGCACCATTTAACGCCAGGAATACTTGAATCATAGCAGCATCCTCGAGAGAGTTACATTCGGTGGAGCTGATGCCAGGATATCCACAGTCTGTTCTGTCTTCTGGATTAACAGAGCATTGGACCTCATCTGTGTTATGAAGGATAACGTGAGAAAAAACATGTACATAAGCTTAGTTCCAAAACTCTAGCATGCAGGTTATCCACCTCACCAGTAGTACATGTATTGTGGATGTCCTCAAAAGACCATCTAGCTAAAATAGTTTTCTGAAAATACCACCTCAAAACATGTCTTAGCAAGACCTGAGGACCAGTTTGAATACCTATGGTCTAGACCAGCCATTCTCAACCAGGGTTCCTGGAAACTAGGGTTCCTCAGAGGTTGCTAAGGATTCCTTGAGCAAAGATGGATTAACCTTCCATCTAATGGTGCCTACATTGTTCCAGAGCCAACATCAATTTGCAAAGCTAGCAGCATAACACCAATGTTTTGTAACTGTCTGGAGGGTTGGCATTCTTTCCACCGAGCACCACTATTGGGGGGATATTGTCCTAACCAACTCCAAATGTGAAGGGCATTCTTCCTTCCTGACCATAATGTGTAGGGAGGCCTTTTTCCCCCACTGACCCCCTAATGAAAGTTAATTCTTCCCACTGATCCCTATTATGATGAACACATTCTTCCTCTCCCTGACCACCAATGTATGGGGGGCCCTCCCCTAAAAGACCACCAATAAAAGGGTACTCTGCTACCAATGTAAAGGGGCCTTTCTACCACTGACCCAATGTAAGCAGGCCCTTCTACCACTGAAGTAGTAGTATGAGCTATTCTCCCATGAACCACCAATATATGGGAAGGGATAACTCCCTATTGTTTATTTTTGATAAAAGGCTGGTTACACAGTAAATGTCTGTCTTCCTATAGATGGCAAAGGTTCTTAAGTGCAATATACGATTTGCTCTTTACAAGTGAGAACAACCAAACTAAAAATGTATTTTTTTTTTGCCTTTTAATGTCTTGAAATTTCTGCTCATGAATTGGCCAAGCTATTCAGCTGAGGATTAGGAAGGAGTTTTATTTTACTGAAATGCAGGCCTTATTGCAAGATTTTGATGAAAATGTCACCATTATAGTAAAATGCATTGCCATCAATGAGGAAGGCAAATTAAAATGTTTATTGGTTTTGAAGCTAGAATGAGCTTTTGTAGCCATCAAGGGCCATTTTATGCTCATTACAACTGTCCTGGACTTGTCAAAATATCATGGGCTAATAAATTTACTTTCACAGTTAAGGGGGAAAAAAAAAAAAAAAAAAAAAAAAAAGCTCTAAAATAAAGCAGATCACTTCAAGCAAAAAAAATTCCTTATGAGCTCAATGAGCAAAATTGAGAGTTTGCACTTTGGAAAAACTCAAATCATTAAGTTCCATGTGAAATTAATTTCAGCAAAAATTGCTCTACTCATCCCGAATGGCGATATACGGTAGGCATTAGTCTGAGGGAAATTTTAAAAAGCATTCTGTGCCCATTTGGTACAGCACCCTGTATGGTGGGTAAAGGTTGTTGCTATGGATAGGAGATGGGGGCATGTTGGCTTCTGCACATAGTGGCCACCACCATTCCTCCACTGTTCTGCATTGAATGTTCATAGGGAAAACTGCAGCCGATTTCAGATGCCAAAAATGTAGAGCTAAATGAGCATCAGAAATATAAACAGTAAGCTTTAATTTCAACCATGCTTAGCCCTGACACCGAATGATGAAAGCATTGTTCCTTGGGAAAAAATATCCCGTAAATTTTTTTTTTTCTCAAGATGTTAAAATCTAAAAGCACAAAGTCCTATAGGTGGCCATACACCATGGCCAAGGTGCAAAATATTTGTGTAGATACATACAGGTGAAACTCGAAAAATTAGAATATCGTGCAAAGTTCATTTATTTCAGTAATGCAACTTAAAAAGGTGAAAACTAATACGAGACTCATTACATGCAACGCAAGATAGTTCAAGCCGTGATTTGTAATAACTGATGATTATGGCTTACAGCTCATGAAAACCCCAAATCCACAATCTCAGAAAATGAGAATATTGTGAAAAGGTGCAATATTCTCGGCTCAAAGTGTCCCACTCTAATCAGCTAATTAAGCCATAACACCTGCAAAGGGTTCCTGCCTTTAAAATGGTCCCTCAGTCTTGTTCAGTAGGAATCACAATCATGGGAAAGACTGCTGCTGACCTGACAGTTGTGCAGAAAACCATCATGGACACCCTCCATAAGGAGGGAAAGCCTCAAAAAAGGTAATTGCAAATGTTGGATGTTCCCCAAAGTGCTGTATCAAAAGCACATTAATAGAAAGTTATGTGGAAGGGAAAAGTGTGGAAGAAAAAAGGTGCACAAGCAGCAGGGATGACCGCAGCCTGGAGAGGATTGTCAGGAAAAGGCCATTCAAAAGTGTTGGGGACTTTCACAAGGAGTGGACTGAGGCTGGAGTCAGTGCATCAAGAGCAATCACACACACACAGACGGATCCTGGACATGAGCTTCAAATGTCGTATTCCTCTTGTCAAGCCGCTCCTGAACAACAAACAATGTCAGAAGCGTCTTACCTGGGCTAAAGAAAAAACAGACCTGGTCTGTTGCTCAGTGGTCCAAAGTCCTCTTTTCTGATGAGAGAAACTTTTGCATCTCATTTGGAAACCAAGGACCCAGAGTATGGAGGAAGAATGGAAAGGCACACACTGCAAGATGCTTGAAGTCCAGTGTGAAGTTTCCACAGTCTGTGTTGATTTGGGGAGCCATGTCATCTGCTGGTGTTGGTCCACTGTGCTTCATTAAGTCCAGGGTCAATGCAGCCGTCTACCAGGAGATTTGGGAGCACTTCATGCTCCCTTCCTCAGATGAGCTTTATGGGGATGCCGACTTCATTTCCCAGCAGGACTTGGCACCTGCCCACACTGCCAAAAGCACCAAAACCTGGTTCAATGATCGTGGGATTACTGTGCTTGATTGGCCAGCAAACTCGCCTGACCTGAACCCCATAGAGAATCTATGGAGCATTGCCAAGAGAAAGATGAGACACGAGACCGAACAATGCAGAAGAGCTGAAGGCCGCTATTGAAGCATCCTGGTCTTCCATAACACCTCAGCAGTGCCACAGGCTGATAGCTTCCATGCCATGCCGCATTGAGGCAGTAATTGCTGCAAAAGGGGCCCAAACCAAGTACTGAGTACATATGCATGCTTATACTTTCAGAGGTCCGATATTGTTCTATGTACAATCCTTGTTTTATTGATTGCATGTAATATTCTAATTTTCTGAGATTGTGGATTTGGGGTTCTCATGAGCTGTAAGCCATAATCATCACAATGACAAATCACGGCTTGAACTATCTTGCTTTGCATGTAATGAGTCTCATTAGTTTCACCTTTTAAGTTGCATTACTGAAATAAATGAACTTTTGCACGATATTCTAATTTTTCGAGTTTTACCTGTATAAACAATTTGGGTCATTGGTCCTTTTTCAGTCACAAATTGCTTGGGTTTCCAGATACATCTTGGGATATTGACATGAGGCTTTCCCCCCTCTTAACCTGTTCAGCCAATTCTGTGGGCATATCCACCCACCTTAATACCCAGTGGCTGAAACATGCTAGGACAGCATTTTGAAGTGCAACAGTTGATTTAATAGTGCACATAGTTGCAAAATCCTGATTCCACAGTGAGGAAGATTATGGGAAATTTAGCCTAAACTCTGCAGATAATAGAAAGAAATGTTTAAGATTGTGTTGTATTTCACTGAAATATTGAATTTACTACATGTAGCACCCTCTAGGTTTAGCTAGAGGCTAGAAGGCTCTGCAGGTCAGGGCTTCCCTTCCAGAAACACTGAACTTCCTGGAAGAGGGTCAGAGGAGGCCCAGATCTGCATTTGAGGGACTTTGGCCAATCCCCTGGCAGGAAGCTGGGGGGGGGGGGGGGGTTCGAGGGCTTTCAGGTGCAAGACCCAACTAATGTAGTTCTCATCTGGGACTACTTCATTGCCAGCTGTTGGAATCCCTTGCCCAGGGATAACCTCAAGGTACCTTCAGTGCAGCTGGATGAAGGGGAATATTCATCTGGGGTCTGAGGAGATACATCAAGGAGGCTTCAGTGCTCCTAGACAGTTATTGATCCACATTGTACACAGTATTTGTTGCCAAGTTTGCCCTCAAGTTCAGTTCCTTGGGCATCCCATATACCCCTAGGACACCAAGTTGTTAACCTCTTATTTAAAACTAAAAACCAGCTCAAGGACTGGATTACTGACTCCAAGTGTGCAAAATGCGTGGCCGTGCAGAGTACCTGAATTTGTCTTGATATTAGCTTCAGTCTTAGGCCTCGTACAAATGATGAGAATATCTGATGAACGATCATTTATTTTTTTGCGTGCTAGTCTCATGAGAATTTTCGTAACTTTAGTAACCTGTTTTTGATATGAGACAGGATGCAACTTTGGAAGTGATTTAATGTATTCTTTCGCTTCTGAGTATGCATCACTCAATTTTTTCTGTACAAATACTATATTTACACTAAAATAGTTTGTTCTGTTACCTTGAGAATATTTTTTGTGCTTGTCCAGATACTTTTGCATGAACCGTCTGCTCTCAAAAGCTGTGTACTAACAAATTATTGGACAGTTACTATAAAAACACATTTTTCATTTTTCATTTGATTCTCATTGTACATACTAGGATTAAGACTAGGATAAGGAGGGTCAGGCATACCTCAACAGTATGCAGCTGTTTATTACTGTCCAATCAGAGGGCTGAGGGTGGGTTCTTGACCAAGCTGTGTTGCCAATAGTGGAGGTTGTGGGTCTGGTTCTGCTTTGTGGATTGCAGGTAGAACAGCCCCCACTCATCTCAGCTGTGTATTTGTGTTTTATTCATTAAAAAGGCGTGGGCATGCAACTAGATGCCTGAACTAAAAGTTATACGTTTGCACATTTGCCTGGCTTTCCCCTTTAAGCAACCACAAAGCTGAACATACATGCTGCAATCTGAATATGCAATCATTTTTACATGTGCTAAAACTAATGCATGGGCCAACTCAAACAATCCATTCAATCTTTATCCAGTCAGGTCCTTACATTACATGGTTGCGGTTTGTAAATCCAAAAAAAAAAAAAAAAAAAAAAAAAAAAAAAAAAAAAAAGTTATAACCAGGTTGTAACCAGGGGCGGACTGACCATTTGGAAACTCGGGCACTGTCTGAGGGCCCGGGGTCAGTAGAGGGCCACATGAGATGCTCCTGGTATCTTTTTCATAGGCTTTGAGTTTGGGCAAGGACACAGGGGCCCCATGAGTTGTCAGTCCACCCCTGGTTGTAACACACCCATATTAGACACCCATTATATTTTCGAGTCATATACCATTGGGTGGCTAGGTGTAGTGTATTCAGGTAAATACAAGTAAATGTTTGTGAAATACCTTGTGCCTGGGAATAGAAGCACCACTTCACATTGGGGATACTGGAGTCGTAGCAGCAGTTTCGTTTGGTGCACTCGGAGGCACTTATCCCAGGATAACCACAGTCCCTTCTCTGACATGGGAGCACATTACTGCATTCCTCATTTGTGAGGTTATTCTCTGTAATGAAATAAAAAAGTTATGATACACCTAGATCTAGAAGGACCATTAAGTAGCTTCCTTCCACAATTGCTGAGATAAGATATGGGACTCTTAGCCATCTCCTAGGGATACATTTACCCAGTCACATTCACACAATTTTAAAATCAGATCAATGTGCACCAGGCCAAAGTAGAAGCCATTGACTCACATGGTGTGTTCAGGGAAACAAGTCATGCCTGTGCAAGTAACACTAACGCAGAAGTGATCTGTCAAATAAGCCACAGTGCCACAAAACTTATGTAGCTCAAAAATGTGCAACCTAAAAACTTTACCAAAAAAAAAAAAAAAAAAAAAAAAAAAAAAAAAAAAAAAAAAAAAAAAAAAAAAAAAAACAAAGTTAAGTGTATACATAAAAATAAATATGAATAACTTGTTGCTTCTCCTTACTAGTAGCCCCTAGGGGGCAAGGTTCTGGGGGCCACAGCTGGCTTGACCAGCTCACATGTAGACTCCAGAGTGTGGTTTACATTTAGTGGTGAAAGCTCCCTTTTCTGGCCATGCCGGCACATTACAGGCCCTTGGACTTCTTTGGACCATCCTCTTGATGGCGGGATGAAAGGAGAGATGAGCCCCATAGAGGTTGGCATTGTAATGTGCAGGCATGATCTGGGAGTATTTAACCACTGCTCTATAGCTCCCTCATCACCTACTCCCATGCTCAGGACTTCAGGCATTTCAGTTCCCCTAGAACTCCCTACAGCAATCTCTCCTGCTATCTCCTACTCCATCTTTAGGCACTCACCCTTTTCAGGGAAGCATTTCCTGCCTCAATTATACCATCTCTATCAACTGATCCCCACACAGTTTTGGGTCTCTTGCCCTTCCTTTATAGATTGAAAGCATAGGAATAACACTGTTATGGGGGGGGGGGGGGGGGGGGGGGGGAAGAAGCCCCATTGGACCCCAGGAACAGGTGGGTCAAAAGCAGCATCCTCTGGAATGGAATTCTCCAGAAACAATTCCTGGATAACCGCAGTCTGTTCTGTTAGCCGGACTCACCGAGCCTCATGCATGACCCCTGACCCACTGTCTGGCTGATTGGCCTTGTGCTGATCACATGCACCCTCCCGAAGGAATAAAAGACTAACACACACATGTAAAGAGTGATGCCAAAGACTTATCAGGAGATGAGTGGAGGACAATGGAAGTAGGCGAGGATCAGAGAAGACAGGATCAAACAGCCTTTTTAAACAATGCAGAGGATTAACCCCTTAGGTTCCACAGTGAGTATAGCAAGCATGCAGGACTGCATATACAGACTGATTCTACTGATGGCTTAGTAACCATCAATCCCACCTTCACTCAGATGAGATCCACCGATTGTGGACGCCAGAGTTTGTTTACATTCAGGTGAAAGACTCCCTCTCCTGGCCTTGCCACCACATAACAGGACCTTGGACTTCTATGGGGCCATCTCCTGGCTTATGAGATGGACAAACCTTTCAGAGGTGGGGCTGTACTGTGCAGGTACGACCATGAAAAGGAGCCTTTTATCGTTGAATGTAAACAAGCAATGGAGGCCGCATCTATTGGATCATGGTAAGTAGGGTAGGATTGTTGGTCAGGGGAGAACCAAAAGAATAGGTGCACTTCAGCTTTAAAGGATGAGGAACAGGCAAACAGTTGCAGGAACTGTTGGCACTATAATATTGGTGTATTATAATAAAAACAGGAAGGATTGGGAAGCATAGGAAAAACCTTGACTGTAGTCATTGGGGTAGAAGCACCATTTGACCCCAGGAATAGATGAGTTGAAGCAGCATCCTCTGGAATGGCATTTTTCAGAACTAATTCCTGGATATCCACAATCTGTCCTGTTAGCCGGACTCACCGAGCACTGAGCCTCATCTATGAACAAATGGAAATATATATCTGAATTAGCAATTAATGTTTACAAGTTGTACATTTTTGGCGCTTATGAGGAACTGTGAGAAAATTTTCCTTTAAATGTTTAAGTGTGCTCTTAGACAAATTTTGCCTATTCTTTTTGCCCCCTCGTCCTGATCTAAATGATCCCCACCTCACTCAGTTGAGATTCATGAGAGTGCATGCAGGAGGGTACCTACCTGGTAGAAAGTTTTTGGTGCTTCTTTGTAAGTGCACCTTTAAGTCCCGGTTGGTGCAAGTAGGAGACACGTGCAAGTTTAATCCAGAAGGGAGACAAATTCTTGGTCAAGCTGATGCGTTTCGAAGGGGGGGGGGGGGGGGTCCTTCCTCAGAGCCCCTTTGAAACATGTCAGCTTGACCAAGAGTTTATCTCCCTTCTGGATGGATCTTGCATGTGTCCTAACCCCGAGTTTGGTTTTGGATGCTTTTTTACAGCTATTCTTGTTAGTAATTTATGAATTGCTTACTGGAGGTAATGCACAAGGTTGGTGCGCTTTGTTTTTGTTCTCTACTACAGAGAATCGAGCTTCTCCAGCTTTGTGTTAGAGCTTCACAACTAGAGATGAGCGAATCGAAGTAGCCGAAGTGGAATTCGAGTCGAATATCGGAAAAATTTCGATTCGCGCCGAATCCGAAAAATAGCCTACTTCGGACGCGCGAATCGGAATTTTTCCGAAAATGGCGGCGGACATGTGCGGCGACGGAGCGGGGATGTCTGGGAAGGCGCGCAGACAAGGCGCGCTGACCCATAATGCATTCCTCAATGACATGTGATCGCATCACCAATCAGCAGCCAGCCAGCCAGCACTGTGTAATGGTCGAGCTATAAATAGCGGCCATTTTGGAATTCTTCATTTGCCTGCAGTCATTGAACAGAGGCAGACCGCTCTGTATTAGGGACAGAGTTAGGGCCTCAGAAACGATACTTGGGGACAGAGAACCGTTACTCAGGGCCACAGAACCGTTACTCAGGGCCACAGAACCGTTACTCAGGGCCACAGAACCGTTACTCAGGGCCACAGAACCGTTACTCAGGGCCACAGAACCGTTACTCAGGGCCACAGAACTGTTACTCGCACAGACACAGAATTGTTACTCAGGGACACAGAATTGTTACTGAGGGCCACAGAACCGTTACTTAGTGCCACAGAACCGTTAATCAGGGACACAATTGTTACTGAGGGCCACAGAACCGTTAATCAGGGACACAATTGTTACTGAGGGCCACAGAATCGTTTAATTAAAGAGTATGTCAGACAACATGCAGAGGAGTGGCAGAGGAGGCAATGTTTTAGGAGCGAGCAGACGTGGCAGCAGAGGAAGGGGTCGAGGCAGCACTATTCGCAGCCAGAGGCTAGTGCTCCCGGTGTCATCCAGTACAGTGAGGAAGAGCTAACAGAGGGCGGTCAGGAACGGGGGGAGACATCCGCCTCTTCAGCAGCCAGGCGAAGAAGTAGTGGCGAGGAGAGTGGCTCGGTAGCCAGTGTAGAGACAGGTCTGTCTCCTGACCCACACGCAGCCGAGGGGGCTAGTAGTGAGGCGGAGACCCTAATTGATAATGAGGCTGATCGCACTTGGCAGCCTCGTCGTCATCAGGCTATTGCTTCCGCATCAGGAGAAGAGGGTGGCAGCTTGGCAGCGAGCAAAACAGTCGGTGGGTTGTCTCCATCGCCACACTCTGCCATGTGCCCACTTTCAGGTCTCCTCACACTGCTGGTGTGTAGAATTTTTTGACATAGGGTGCTGGCAGATTACGGGCCTCCTATAGCTGCTGCCAGGCCCCTAATCTGCCATAGGCCCCTATATACTGCCTCCTCATGCTGCTGCCAGGTCCAGAGTCTCTCATGGGTCCCTGTACGGCCTCCCATTGCTGCTGCCAGGAGGCAGCAGGGTCGCAGCAGTGTCAGTGGAGGCAAACGGCCACGGAGTAGAGCACCAGCTCCACTGCAGCCTACCACCACGGCCAGTAGTGGTGCCGGTGTGCACGGAGGAAGTAGCAGTCAGCCAGTGAGGAGTAGCGGAGGCAAAGTTTCCTACTCTGCGGTGTGGCAATTTTTCGTCAAGCCGCCCGAGGAAGTAAACGTAGCCGTATGTCGACTATGTGGCCAGAAAGTCAAGCGTGGTCAGTAGGCCCATGTTGGGACTACAGCGTTGCGTCAGCATATGCAGCGTCGCCATTCGGTGGCCTGGGAAAACCGTGATAAAGATACGGCGGTTCTGCCTGCCCCAGCCCAGGGTTCCATTTTGTCATAGGGTGCTGGCAGATTACAGGCCTCCCATAGGTGCCACCAGGCCCCAAATCGGCCATGGGCCCCTGTACCGCCTGGTCATGCTGCTGCTGAGCCCACAGTGTGACCTGGGTCCCTGTACCGCCTCCCATTGCTCCCACTCTGCCATGTGCCACTTTGAGGTCTCCTCACACTGCTGGTGTGTTCAATTTTTTGACATAGGGTGCTGGCAGATTACGGGCCTCCCATTGCTGCTGCCAGGCACGTAATCTGCCATGGGCCCCCGTACCGACTCCTCATGCTGTGACGTTGCAACAAGGTGGAATTCAACACTACATATGTTAGACCGCCTTTACGAACAGCGAAAGGCCATCACAGATTTCCTGATGTTAAAAGCGGATAAAGGTACTCCCTGTGTAACTTAGATGTCAGCCATTGTCAGCTCATGCGTGACACCTGCGCTTGCTCAGGCCCTTTGAGGAGGCCACGCTATTCCTGAGTCGGCAGGACTATGGGATGAACGAGGTCAAAATCGGCCATGGGCCCCCGTACCGCCTGTTCACGCTGATGCTGGTCCCACAGTGTGACCTGGGTCCCTGTACCGCCTCCCATTGCTCCCACTCTGCCATGTGCCACTTTCAGGTCTCCTCACACTCCTGCGGTTTTCCATTTTGTCATAGGTTGCTGGCAGGTTACAGGCCTCCCATAGGTGCTGCCAGGCCCCAAATCTGCCATGGGCCCCCGTACCGCCTGGTCACGCTGCTGCTGGGCCCACAGTGTGACCTGGGTCCCTGTACCGCCTCCCATTGCTCCCACTCTGCCATGTGCCACTTTCAGGTCTCCTCACACTCCTGCTGGTTTCCATTTTGTCATAGGTTGCTGTATGGCCTCCCATTGCTGCTGCCTCCACCGCCACACTGTGGCTCCAAACACTGGTTTTGGCCCCGTGACTGGCCAAATGAGTGAAGTGTGCGGTGATTCTAAGATAGACGGCACTCATCTGCATGTCATACTGAGTGACAGTATTATTTCTCTTCCCCAGCAGACTCCAAGGGCATTTAAATTAAAGGTACAGTGTTCTGCACTAATATTAAGTCTCTCTGAAGCCTAGAAACACCCTTTTTTAAGTTAAATTCACAGCGAATTTATTCGACTCGAATCGAATATTGTCCACGAATTCGCCGAATCAGGCGAATCGAATTTTTCATTTCTTCGCTCATCTCTATTCACAACCTTTGATCAGTGTTGGATGAACATTTAGCATTTTATTCGACTGGCCTTCTGATCTGGGTCCCTGAGCGCAGGAGGTGTTGGATTTGTATCGACTGGTCATTTGGGAAGAGCCTTGGAGACAGTGGGTGGATCTAAGTGACTGATAAGGATGGTATAAAGTGAGCGCTCCTAACCAAGCAGCTAGCCCTAGAGGTAATCACAGTGTACCCGTAAACAACAGAATAGTAATAACAAAGTGCAGCGCTGAGAAATGAGTGTAAAAAGCAAATAGTCCGTGGTTATTAGCTAATATAAATATATAGTCCCAAGAAAAAGCTGATGAAGACCAGGAAGCAATGGAAAGAGAGTGCGCACTCACCGGACGCGCATGGAAAATGCGCATAAATGAATAACTCCTGGAATCCTAGAGTA